CCAACTTGGTACTGTCGACCAGGAATGACACGAGGTGGTGGAGTTATGGTTTGGAGCAAACGAGAAGAATCCATCCCTGATGATGGTCTAGGCCGTTTTGCAGCTCTTGGCTCCCAGCCAGTCAACTCAGATTCATCCTCTGCATTGTCATGATCATTCGGATCCGGCGAATAGTACTCGTAGTCCTAAAGCAAACTCAGTATAGACACTTACAGTAGGACGTAAAACACTGATACACATACGCTGATTCGCACTGGTTTCCTTTTTCTTTCAGGCACCACCATTGGAGCATGACGCAGATCAGTACGAGGCGTACTAGAGTACCGGACCGGTTGTGGAGTGGTCTGGCGAATGGACCGATCTTGTACAGAAGTGGTCCTTCTGACATTCGCAGTAAGCGGCGAAGGAGTAGAACGAGCAGGAATTTCTGCAAATACTCTCTCTACCAAAAATATAAACCACGTTATTATCAACACCCACGAGTTTTGACTGTGGAATGTGCAGGCTGAACTCTTTGCATCGCAGTTGCTTGTTTTTTCCTCTTCTCCGCCTCTTGTTTTTCATTGTAGCCTTTCCAGTAGTCGCTGAGAGCAAAACAAAATTGTGTGCATAAAGCTGATGAGAAGTAAAAAATAACTACTAGATTTCAGAACTAACTATATCTCATGTAACTTGAGGTCAACGCCGTCGACCCACTCCTCCTTTAAATGACTAACACGCTGTGTAGACGAATGAGCGGGCCTCTTTCTCCTTGTGCCTATAGTGTAGTACAATCTTCAAGTTACTGACAATATGGAGTTATTTCAAAACCCACTCTTTCTTCTATCCGAACGTCCTTCACTTGTCCAAGATAAGTCGTCCTCTTCTTCAATCTCTTTGTCATCATCTAAAGGCAGCACTTCGATGGATATGCGGTACCTATAAAAACTGTCATTTATAAACAGAAGATGCGTTCATCAAATCATTTAAAGGCAGTGTCCAGGCAAAAAATCGATTCTAAAGTTTTGTGCTTAGAGCCTATTCGCTATCCTGAATCCGGAATGTACACTGGAAAACGCGAAAACGGCGAAAAAGGGTTCTAACGAAGGAGGGAAATCAGCCGGTGGGCGAGGTCTTCCCACTGTGAATTCTAGCTCCTTCCGAATCTTCTGGATTTCGCTTTGAAGTCACGCGTTCGCAAATGACCGAAGGCGATGTCAGCCTAGCGGAATCGAAAAGATCGCTCCGGAAGATGGGAGCGTGAATCCAAATGGGGAATGACCACGCTCACCTGCTGATTCTCTCCTGCAGTGAAGCCTTACTCGGCGTTTTCGCGCACTCCAGTGTTGGTTCCCGGACTCAGCATAGCAAGTATGCCCGGGTAAGCATAAAGTCTCAAAGTCGACTTTTCCTGGACACTGCCTTTAATCTACAAAGACAAATGCGTACCGCTCATAAATGCAGGGTGGTGCATACTCCTTGTGTGATGTTATCCACCTTCGTTCGTCGCGATCTGGGAAGTGGCTCACAATACGCCTATCAGGATCCTACAGAAACATTGGAAGGTGCATATACACACAAGGATTCAACCAAGACCCACATCATCTTCCGGTTTCATGTCTTGCCATCGTATAGACGCCCAAAGTATTCGCAGTTGGAGAGCGACAGCTTGAAGAGAAGCACAGTTCGCAGTTAACCATCTATAATGATAGTTTTTATTTAGAGAATGCGCAAACATACACTAATACCTCCAGCATAAGTCAAAACACGGCCTTGAGGTGGGGTAGTTCCAGTATTGTAAGTTACCCTTGGCAGTGGCAGAAAAGCTCGGTACATAAATCGCTCTTCGGCCAGCAGTTTTTGCTAATTTTCGAAGGGTACTAAAAATTTGAAATAGACGATCTGCGGTGACTAGGCGGAAGCAGATACAATTTAGGATGACAACGCTTTCAAAATCTTTAATTGAACTTACACTTGCGGTATTACAAAAATGCTGGTTCGTTTCGTTCCTCTCGCGACAAAATTATTGACTTCTGGTAAAGGCCAAGGCAGATCCTCTCCCAGGACGCCTTTGCGAGCTTCTCGAGTTTTAGTAGGGTCGAAAGCTTTCACAACAGCCGAGGTGCTTGTTGAAGGACCTAAAGCGATTAGTGTACTAAGTATAGAGCATGCTCTTTTCTGCCAATTGAAAGTGCAAAAAGATTGAGGAAATTATTTCTCAGCACAATTGAGTGCTGAAAAGTTCACAGATAAACTCACGTGAAGAGGCAAAACACGGATTCAGATCCAGCAAACCGTCCACATCCAACTCCTTTTGTCGACATTCTTGCGAATAACATGACTGATAGCCAGCGCTCGCATCATTGGAACAGACCGATCTGCATAGCAGAACTTGATTTGGATTTACTGCAACACCAATGCTGGAGATTGTTATACCTAGAAGGAATGCCCATGCGACAACTAGGCGAATAGCAGACGCAGTTTTGCTTCTTCTTCGACGCCTCCTG